GCGCACACAAGATTCCTGCAAACTCATACTTCTTACAACTACATAAAACTGTATTATCTATTGAGTCAAATGTGACTGTGTGGTGCCAATACTTCTTATGAGGGATAACTTCATATTGCTTATGCTTCCAATCTCACCATTGAATTTCAAGACACAATCATGAGCTTTACACAACTCATCTTGAAATAACTTAAACACTTCTGGTGTATATATATTTGATGCGTGCTTTAATATTTCCACTGGAAATGACAATGCAGGTGAACTTTGACTTGCTCTAAATTCAGCTTTCAACTCTTGATAACGACGATCTTCAACTAACCTCTGAAAATGTTGAAAAAGTCGTAGCAAATCATATTTGTAACTAACATACTTCTTTAAAGCACTATTCATGCTTTCACTGCGTTGGGTAGTAGTAATATCATCACAAAAAGTTTGTCGCCCATAAACTAATGCCCATTGCTCCTTTATATTAAACAATCGCCTCAACCAATCATCATCCTTGAGATTATATTTTTCAAGCATGTTATTCCAAGCGTTTATAAAATCATCTTCATCTTCATAATCATATATGCATCTACCAAAGTCTTTGGTAAAACTTTTGAACTTCTCAAAAGCATTGCTAAGATGCTTGGCTGCGTTTTGGTATATGTGCCAAATGCACAAATGGTGACATGTTTCTGGCCACTCTGAAAGCAATGCTTTAGCCATTGCTGCATCTTGGTCTGTCAGAATACTTATTGGTTTTTTTCCAGACATAGCCTTGACAAAAGTATCAAATAACCAAATAAATGTGTCAGTTGTTTCAGCATACAATAATGCAGCACCGAATACAACAGTTTGCCTATGATTGTTGACACCAACAAACATTGCAAAAGGTCTTTCGTCCTTATTTTTTCTATAGGTCGTATCAAAGCATACCACATCACCAAAATAATCATAATCCACCATCATCCTTGCATCAGCCCAAAAGATATTAGTAATCATATCATCTTCATCCACTTGTATAGCATAAAAGAAATTGGGATCACTCAATTGCATTTGTTGTAAAATTCTAACAGGCCCCCTGTATCTCCTACCCTCATTTCTCTTGTACGCTTTGAACGTAAATAATTTTTATAATCTACAAGAATGAATCCAAGATTTTGACGTCCACCGGCTTGTCTACTCAGAAGTTCTAGAGTTGTTTTTGGAGCAATCCCTGAACTATCAGCCATATCAGCTTCAACTATTTGTGCAAGAGACATGTTCCTATGTGACCTAAAAAAATGGGTCTTACAAGGACTAGAAGTAACATACGAATGCTCAGGCACAAACTCAGTAACACAATACTTATCATTTAGCCGACAACTAATTTTCATCCTTGCTAGACATCCAAATCTTGTCTCAGCACGATGAGATTTCACACTGCCATCACACTTATTCTTTTCACGCTTACCTTCAGCAGAGCAAACAAAAAGTCTGTCTCTCAACTTCCCACATTTCTCTTTATGAAATTTACTTAGTCTAATACTAAAACCAACACCATATGCATAAGCATTGTAAAATTTAAAGGCTTCTTCTTCTGTCTCAAACTCCATGCCTATTACAGGAATTAGTTTTTTCTGCATGTTAGAATGAATCAACTCTATGTTTTCGTTACCTTGTGTAGTTTCTGATAACTTTTCTTCATTACTTTCACTGTCTGCAAAAGCATTGAAGTCCACACCTGTTTCAAAAATTAGCTTCGGACTTGCTTGAGTTCCATCATCGTCTCTGTAATTATTTTCCCCGTTCATGTCCTTGAGAAAATTGGCAACACGTAATTTATAAGATTTAAATTTCTATATATAAAACAATAATCATAAAATAACAATTAATTTAATCAAGACAGGGATTGATTACTAAATATGATTGGGTTTGATTCCTATGAAATCAAAAGGTTGATTCCTATGGCTGGGATTGATTACTATAACAATTAATTTAATCGAGATAGGAAAGGAATTGATTCCTATGACTGGGATTGTTCAAAAGGTTGATTACTATGAATATGATATCAAACATATCATGAAGATAAAACCTAACAAAGAAAATTGAACAAATATTATATAAGTTTCCAATACACAGGGCTTTGCTCACCTCCATCCATGCTTCAACAAAAGGTATAATCGATTGGTTTAATGGTGCTGCAATTTCTAAACAGAGATTAGGAGGGAGGAGAGTGGGTATGGCTAGGTTTTGCAAGGAAGACAACGCTCGCTGGCTGCAATTGGAGAAGAGGAGAAGACGACGCTCGCTGGCTGCTGGGTTGGCTGCAATTGGAGAAGAGAAGACAGATGCTCGCTGGGTTTAGCAAGGAAGTCGTTGGATTTTTTAGGTTTGTATGTAAGATAAATTTAGCCCACCCTATTTTCAAATCCTGGATCCGTCCCTGATCTCGTTCACCTACAATTTGCTTTAAATGTGGTTTATTTAGTGGGGAAGCATTATCAAGAGATATGAAGTTTGGAATTGGGGCTCTGTGTAAAATCTGGTATAAGGAATTCTATATTCCGTTGTTATTACATACAATATGTGCAGGTACATATATAGGGATTGATACAACAATATAGATCCCACAATTATGCAGTTAGCCAAACTAGGACCCTAAACACCAGGCCACGCTATCTCTAAACTAGGAAAGAATCAATTACAATATTCCCAAATATCAATTGGAATAAACCCATCACATCGTTGACTTTCATGTTCGGGTAGCTAAGTTCCTAGTTATACAACAAGTAACTTGTTACAATGTATAGTACAGACGAACTCCAACTCGACTTGAGGTGAGCCCATTCCTACCAATAGTAGCTTCTATGCCCCGAAATTGTGCAACATAAAATTTCGGAGTTGAGGCGTGCAATGGCCCATTGCTAAACCCTAGTACAAGTCCAACATCATAAGCTTTTAGATCAAATAAAAGCTCATTATCGCATTGAGTCGGTACAATTTGCTCCGTATTTTTACGTGGATGGCGATGATCGGGTCACGTATCCCACTTAATTAAAAATTTTATTTTCCAGAACTTCAAAAATTTTGCTGGAGCCGAGCTCTTTCCGACCAATAGTAGCTTTCGATGCCCCAAAATTGCGCATTAAGTCAACATTATAGCTTATAATTTACACTTGAATACGTTAAGTTAAAAGTTAATTAATTGAAAAACAAGGATGTAAAAAGAGAAAAGGAAGAAGTAAGTAGTCGTTCGAGTGTGGGCCTTCTGGTGGGAGGCTACAAGTGAGAGAGTAGAGTAGCAGAAATAGAGTAACCCAAAAACAGCCTTTTTTGCCGATATTAGCAAAAACCCATAATAACTCTCTCTCTCTTCTCTTTGCTTGTTTTGGGTGTGAGATTGCTATTTCCGGCAATCTAACCACCCACCCACCAAACAATAAAACAGAAGACACTCAAATGGTTTCTTCTGTTTGAAGAGAGAAGTCTCCTGAATAAAGAAAACACCCTTCACCTATAATACTACCATCAACATATATTTCTCCATATATCAAGGGAGATTGCTCTTGATAGAAGCAATCTCATATTCTTTCCTAAACGCAGACCACTGTATTTATTCTAGAGATATTGACTTACTGTTATTAGCTTTGTATAAAGTCAACTCTTGTAATTATAAATTTGTGATGAATACAGAACAAACCTCAACGAGGTCATTCTTCAATCCAGTCTTCCTCTCAATCCTATCTCATTTTCTACATGGTATCAGAGACCCATAGGGGCTAGCGCTCAATTGACAGGACCTGCCTCGAATTCATCGGAATCCATGACGAACCCTGTGGTTTTTCCGACATCCAACTGATGCCGGGCCCACTTACTAATTTCAAACATTCTTTTCCCCTAAAACAAAGGACAAGAGAGCCAAGGCTTCTACTGAAATTTCGGCAGTCTTTCATGAAAAACGGACTTTACCAAAATTTTCAACTTGTCAAAAACAATAGAAAAAGAATACCAACTACCAGCAAACACAAAGCAACAACACACAAATTACAAAATAGGCCTCTGGCCTTAACTTCAACCCTACACGGGCAATGTCAGAGCAGTCAAAGAATCTCTAGTTAAACAACCAAAGTAAAGGTTTCAAGAAATGGACAAGTGTCCTACAATTAAGCCGAGGCACGAGAGGAGGAAGGCTCAGTCTGATTGCTCGGTTCGCATCAACTACAGCCTGAGTGCGCAAAACAAAAAAATCGTCAGTGGATAAAAACAAAGTTTCAACATACTGACCCCACCGTTTTGTAAAACGGTGTCAAAGCATGAAATTAAAACCATTACTTATAATTGAAAAACAAGGATGTAAAAAGAGAAAAGGAAGAAGTAAGTAGTCGTTCGAGTGTGGGCCCCAAACATTCTTTTCCCCTAAAACAAAGGAAAAGAGGGCCAAGGCTTCTACTGAAATTTCGGCAGTCTTTCCTGAAAAACGGACTTTACCAAAATTTTCAACCTGTCAAAAACAATAGAAAAAGAATACCAACTACCAGCAAACACAAAGCAACAACACACAAATTACAAAATAGGCCTATGGCCTTAACTTCAACCCTACACGGGCAATGTCAGAGCAGTCAAAGAATCTCTAGTTAAAAAACCAAAGTAAAGGTTTCAAGAAATGGACAAGTGTCCTACAATTAAGCCGAGGCACGAGAGGAGGAAGGCTCGGCCTGATTGCTCGGTTCGCATCAACTACAACCTGAGTACGTAAAACAAAAAAATCGTGAGTGGATAAAAACAAAGTTTCAACATACTGACCCCACCGTTTTGTAAAACGGTGTCAAAGCATGAAATTAAAACCATTACTTACACTCGCAAGCTGTTCTAAAGATTCAGACCAAATTCAAACATTAATCCAAAAAGGGTTTCAGACTCGTCACAACCACAAACACATTTAAACCACAACCATTCAGTAAATCTGGAATGCAAACAAGCATTTAATCTCACCTAAGTTTCAATCGGGCTTCAGGCCCACCGACAATAATCAAAACCAAACTCAACAAAAGCAATAGTTTAAAATGCAGCTGCACCTAGGTGAAATCTTAGGTTGCCTATGTCACATCCCGGATCGGCTCTGCCGTAGCACGATATTGTCCGCTTTGGGCCCCCCCTCTCTGGCCCTCACGGTTTTGTTTCTAGGAGCTCACGACCAATTCATTCTCAACTTCAATTTTGACAAGGCACACACTGACACTTTATAAGTTCCTTTCCTTTTATTAGTTCTTTCCCGCAACCATACCCTATCCAAGGCATATGCTGCCGAACAATACTTTCCAGATGGAGCTACAAGTGCCATATCCACTTGCTTGGATAATCAATAGCTTTTGGTATTCAAAGCCACATGTAGTTCTTATGACAAAAAAGAATCACAATTCAGAAACATACATATATTGTCCAAGTAAAGCTCACAATTAAATTTAAATTCATTCTCAACTTCAATTTTGACGAGGCACACACTGACACTTTATAAGTTCCTTTCCTTTTATTAGTTCTTTCCCGCAACCATACCCTATCCAAGGCATATGCTGCCGAACAATACTTTCCAGATGGAGCTACAAGTGCCATATCCACTTGCTTGGATAATCAATAGCTTTTGGTATTCACATGACAATAATCAAAACCAAACTCAACAAAAGCAATAGTTTAAAATGCTGCTGCACCTAGGTGAAATCTTAGGTTGCCTACGTACCCCTTGGTGAGGGATTAAGCCACATGTAGTTCTTATGACCAAAAAGAATCACAATTCAGAAACATACATATATTGCCCAAGTAAAGCTCACAATTAAATTTAAATTCATTCTCAACTTCAATTTTGACGAGGCACACACTGACACTTTATAAGTTCCTTTCCTTTTATTAGTTCTTTCCCGCAACCATACCCTATCCAAGGCGTATGCTGCCGAACAATACTTTCCAGATGGAGCTACAAGTGCCATATCCACTTGCTTGGATAATCAATAGCTTTTGGTATTCACAACTTCAAATCAAAGACAAATTCAACCAATTACATTATGACACAAAATAATACCAATCGTAGTTTTCAACGTAAAAGAGCTCAAAACCCAAATCAGTTCTCACTTTCCAAACTATAAATCAAACGTTCATACCTGTGCAAAATACTCACGAAGCACAAGTTCAAGAATCTCAACCCAACAACGAATTCACACACACACACACACACACACACACATTATATATATATATATATATATATATATATATATATATATATATATATATATATATATATATATATATATATATATATATATATATATATATATATATATATATATATATATATATATATATATATATATATATATATATATATATATATATATATATATATATATATATATATATATATATATATATATATTGACTAGCCCGCATGGTTTCAACTTTCTACCCTGCTTCTAGGGATGAGCTGTCCAACCGGGGGATTGCCGCTCTACAGCACACACGCTGAAAAATCCAACGCCACGTGTGGGCAAACCAAACCATGTCCTATGCGCGCAGACTACCTCACTAAGGGCTTATGGCACACTAGACCAAAGGTGCTCGGACCTTTATCACACGGCAGAAAATCCAACGCCACACGTGATAAAGTAATAGTAACCAGTATCCAAGTGACCCCACACGCCGAAAAATCCAACGCCAAGTGTGGGTAAAGTAACCAATATCAAATGTGTCCGGATTCTTTACCACACGTTGGAAAATCTAACGCCACGTGTGGTAAAGTAACCAGTAATCAGTTTCCAAG